ATGTGTGTCCGAGAATTTTATTTTCAATAACATCGCGAGAAATAGTGAATAATTTTTTAATTTAACAATAAAAAATGTTAAATTGAAATGGAACATGTATTTCAGACATTGTGAAATGTGATAGATTTAATAAATGAATGACATTACAGGTAGGTCCATAAAAATATATACTATTTTGACGTGACTACGGCTTGGCCGGATAACCGGCCTGCGGTGTCTGGGGACTCGATGCTTCTTGGCCGGATAACCGGCCTACGGTGTTGAAAGAGTTAAATCAAATCTTGAGAGATGATATTTTATTATGAAATCAAAAAACTGACAAATTGTATTTAATTTATATATATTTTTTACAGTCAAAATGGCAATTTGAGTTAATTTTTTGTAAACTTCAACTTTTGATTGGATTCATAACGAAACTATTCCCCAAATTCATGAAACATATGTCAATTTTGTTAGAATGGGGCATAGCCAGTATAAAACACTGCAAAGGTTATTCATTTTCTGGCAAAAACGTAAACTAGTGCTACTTTTATAATACTCTATAATATTTTAAATACACCAAAGGGAGATAACTCCTCCTTCAAAATTTTCTATTGTAGCTATCATTCGTGAGTAGAATGTAAAATTTGATTCAAGTTCTTAAAACGTCTTTCAAATTTCACCAGTTAGTGGTATATCTCACAATTTTCTTGAATGATATCACTGTTTATCCTGCACACAACAATTTTCAGTATGTCTTTGTTCATGTTCGTCAATGAATGTCCGAGTCACTGCTCTCGTTATCTGTGTCATCATCAGACAGATTGGAAAACTCATCTTCATCAGAGTCATCTGAGGAGAAAGTATCAAGCTTCCTGTGTATTGAGGTTGGCATTTGGTCTCCGCTATACCAGAAGACTGAATATGAGCCATCCACCAATTTCCAACCATGTTCATCCGGAGACCTTAATGCAGGTGTTGCCGTATGAGCGTTCTTCCAGATAGATGATACATAGTGAACACGGTTCAGTTTTTGAAGCAGTACACTCTTCGAAGGGGGAAAGGCACATGGATCACAGCCTTTAACGTTATCAAGTGGTTCTGATTTAGAACGAGGTGCATATTTGTCCTTGAAGATACAATAACGGGCCTCGTTGACATCTGAAATGTCACCTTTATTGTACATTATGCAAACAAAGTGCTCGATAATGTTGACAACTTCCTCTGTGATTTCGTCTTGGCTTCCCAAATTAGAAAAAGCTTGTTAAAATGCATCTGATGTCTCCAACATATGTAATGGACGACATTTTCCTTTTCTGGCAAATGCTGCAGTGTAGTCACAACCTGTGAATGCATAGAAAGAAGGAAGAGCCTCACAGATATCCCCAATAGCTGAAGCTACTGCATTGACATCAATGTTGCGTCTGGTGTTGTTACTACTATTTCCTATGTCCATCCATACCTGAGAACCATTCATTCGTTTCAGATGGTGCAGTAGAAGGACCATGACGTCTGTATCAGATGCTCTGACTGAAATCCTTGGCGATTCTAAGTCACTGCTGGTACTGCATGCATGAAATATCAATCTTGTATCTGCTTCTTCGTGGCCAGACTGTAGATGGGAAACAAGTGATCTGACAACTTGCCCACTGTAGGCTGTGAAAACAGCACACAGTCGATGGCAACATACAGTTCATGTCCTGACAATATTGAATTATATTCATCTTTTGCCCATTCTTCTACAAGAAACCTCAGGAGCGATGATTTGAACGTTGGAGACCTCAATGCTTGATGGAATTCTTTTGGTCTAATCTGGAGAGGACCTGTCACTAAGGCTTCAAATTCAGTCGGACCACGCATCTGCCGTTCAGTATACTTAATGGATGGACTCTTGTATGTATCACACACAAACTCAACACGTTTGGCCATTCGACAGAGCGCAATAAGCATTGTTTGGGCAATATCCTTGTACCTTAGAGGTACATTCGTGAGAGACTGTACAAAGAACATCCCATCAACAATGCATACATCAAGAGTGACAGCTTGTGAGTGATCCTCGACCTTCTTTTCAAGACAGTACAGAAGCCTTGATTTGTCAGTCTTGTTGAGAGAGCCGTCTATGTGGGCAAAGCAAAGAGGTACTGGAGTCAAGGGATATTGAAAGACTTCTTGCAGGTTGATGTTTGAGGTTGTAGGTAGGTACAGTAGTCTTCCAAACAGATCACTTGTGCATTTCAGCTCATTTACCTTCTTATCTTTGGCTGTGCATGAAAGTTTCACAGCTTCAACAGCAAAATTTTTTTACTTTACGTCTGGGAATAGGTTTTTCAAACCGACGAGCATCACTGAAACAGCCATCTTGAAATTGCTTGTACCACTCTTCTCCTTTCTGTAGCACAGAAACAAGATCATTGGCTATTTCATCTCGTACAGCCTTTCCGGAACTGATACAACAGAGGTTGGAGTTGGGACATGCTTCACTGAATGGATTCAAACTATTTTCTATTGCATTGAGAAGTTTCTCAACATCCTGGTGATCTCTCACAACCCGACATAGCCTTTGCTCACGAGAAGTTTCATCTTTTCTGTCAAGGCCAGCCATCTCAAAAAGACCTGACACAACTGCGCTTCTTAACCCTCTTGGTGCCACGGGACCATATATGGTCCCTCACTTTTCACACCCGCATAGTGCCAGGGGACCATATATGGTCCCGAGAAAATGCCCTTTTTAAACTGTGAATTTTGATATTTAACACTGAGTGCGCAAAGTGAAAACTATAACCATCACCACCCCAATCATCTTAGCTTAACATCGTGTAACTCATACTTTATACAATGCTACGGATTGCGAAATATGGCGAGATTGGTAAAGTGGCTACCGCTCTTCTCGGCCTTTTTCTGCCATGTTTGAACACCAAGCGAATGACGGCGAATTTTGATTATGCACCCATGTCACATACACGTAAATATTTTCAGACAAAATCCTTGTTCATAAGAAAAAATATGACCTGAGTGGTCAGAGAGACATATTTTTTGCAACTGTATACTTATTCACGTAAATACAATTCTGTTCACTCCTTTATGAACAAGTTTATTTACATGTTTTGTATATTTTTATCGACTATCGGTAATGGCGGAATGGTCGGTACACATGAGAAAACGACAGTGTATATTTCCATTACATTTATGACGTTCATTGAATGAATTTATAACCATCTTCACCCAAATCATCTCAACGTTAATATCGTGTAACTCATATTTTATGCAGTGCTACGGATTGCGAAATATGGCGAGATTAGTAATGTGGTTACCGCGCTTCTCGATCTTTTTCTGCCATGTTTTTTAACTTCATGCGAATGAAGGCAATTTTTTATTATGCACCCATGTCACATACACGTAACTATTATTATATCAGACAGCCAATTTGAAAAAGAAATCTGATCGGACTGGTCCGAAAGATTTACTAGTCCCCACTGTACAGTTTTTGGCGTAAGAGTACTAACGTTTAGTCGGCCACGGAAGTTTTTTGTTCAAGTATTGCATATGTTTATCGACTGTGTCATGGCGATTTAGCACGGCGCTACATACCAACCGACAGTGCAGATTGTCTTTTTGTTTATGATGCTAATTAACAGAAAATATTCAAATCAAAGATATGGAAAGATATAATCGTTAATATTAAGTTGGTATAGTGTTTATTTATGGGCATTTAAACATTTAATGGCCAAGCCCGAAGTGATCGACAGGGCACGTTCGCATCATATCTGTGCCGCGATTTCTTGTTTACCGGTTGTCCTACATACTCGCCCGTTCAGACAAATAACTGCTACTTTTTTCATATGAAATGACTAAGAGTCATGTGTGATTGCTCAAACTACCTGACCGTGTGAGTGACTTGCCCTAACTGTTTCACATTTTGTCGCAAATGGAGATTTCAAAAGTGTGGCCACGACTCTAACGTGAGTCGACGCCATATTGTAAACAAATTGTGTCAAGGTCGGTTCCACATGTGGTAGCTCGGCCCCCGTTTCTGTCGATGGTACACGCGATACAAACATAATGCAACTACTGAAAACATCAACATAACTTCTACAATGATGACATCAATACCTTTTTGTATTTGGATTAACCGCTTATGGATACGCTGTGCTGTTAAGTTCGATTTCGATTTGTTTTTCCTTTCATTGAAACTGTGATAATGGCGCTGTGATTGGTTTGCTGAAATAGTATTTTCCATGAGTCTAATGTACATGGTACATGCTGTGATTGTAGAAGATAATTGATAACCAATTGTGTATGAATTTATATCATCAAATAAACATTACTAATCTCTTCAGAAAATGGAATATATTAAAGCTCGTTTTCAAACATTCTGCCATGGATATTAGATCAAAAATTAATATTAGATTTACAAATTATTTTGTACACTGTACTCTCGATTAACGTATGATAATCTATTGCAAGTCTTCAACTCTTATTTGATATGTCATCTGAAATGTCAGCAATGAGTACAATTAATTTTATTTCGTTACAATCTGCAATTTTATTCAAATAGGCTAAAAGACGGTCGGTGATTTCCCGCCGCTGTGAATTTGTCGTCTGGACAGGTGCGCGTGATTTGACCTCGCGTGTTGTGACGTGGATGACGTCACATGAAACAGCTGATCTAATGTTGTGGTAGTATAATTGTAACAGCGGTACTCTGGTCCTCTCAAAGATAAGAGAGTACTTGTTGGGTTCAAGGGATTTATTTTCAATGGGCGTAGAGAACTACACGGTAGTCCGGATTTGCCCTAAAACATACATAATTTGATATAAATATCATGGGTATCATTATAAAGGCACTAAATAACAACAATACTAATTATACATTTAGATCTATAGTTCCTTACTTTTGGCTTATATATATATTAACAAATCCTTCCAGGTAAAACAAATTACACTCTATATATATATATATATATATATATATATATATATATAGTTAATCATGCATAATTAATAAAACATAAATAGCATACCTCGTCTCAGGGACGCAGGCTGGAAACTCTCTTATAGAGATGTGCAGTGAAATAGCCCTGCACAAATAAGTATACTACATATAAATATATTACATAGCCACAGTTACACTAGCGTGTATGGAATACAAGCATTATAAATTCTACAAAATACTATACATATATACATATACATATATCACTTCTAACCAGTTTAAATCTATTTTATAAAATGTACATTTGGCTATTATCTCAGTAAAATACACAGTTAAGTTGAATTAAGAATACATTACAATGTCATAATAAAATGCTAGCCAAAATACTATATCCAACAACAATGATTAAAATACATAACCTAAGCTTCCAGATAAATAAAGTAATAATTAAATGAACTTACCCTATATGATTCAGTGCAGAGAACGTGTTGAGAAAATATGTCCTGACTGACCAGTAGAAGTGTGATCAGTCTCCCCACATAATTGCAGAGAACATGCAACAAAGCTAGATCACAAAGAGCACCTAATCACAGGCCAAGCATGTGACCGACCCATTGACAATAGCCAAGAAAGAAATGGCTGAACTACCCAAGCTATATACAGAACTAGCTTACCTGTGAATTAGTAGATTTGTGCAAGTGCTGAAGTTAACACAAGTATTTAGTAAAATAAATGTTAAATATTTAGGTTAGCTTATTAATTTAATTCATGTTTGGTTACTATGATGATACTTTAAAATCTAACAATTAGGGCTGTGTATTGCCCCAAATTTCGTATTGCGATATATTGCGATACATTCCTCTGTATTGCAATACGTACTGCAATATATTGTGGAAGAAAACTTATTGAGTTCTGTCCACTGTTTAAGATTCTTTTACCTCCACATTGAATCACAGTACAATCATACAAAGTTTAGCTTTATTCAAAGTAAAAAAAAGGGAAAAACCAGAACCATCAGACAAAACAGACAATTGTATATTGTGTCTGACTGGCTGTGCTATTCGACTCAAGAATAGCTGTTTAAGGCACCATAATGGTAAAGTCCAACATGCAGTAAATATTAGTGGTATCAATTCTCCAGACTCAGTGACATCATGGGTGCGTTTAGCTCATAGGTTCAGGAAGAAATGTTAGAGGTATTTATGTATAATATGGGTCCAGTGTTTGTGGTAACGTAAGTTTGTAATTGTTTATCAAAGAGCTGTTCGTGCAGTTTCATCACAATGACATCGCAGGTAAAAAGATGGACAATATTAGTTGTTTTAACTCTTTCAACACCAGTCAACCAGAAGCGTTTACTGCTGTGACACCCAGTAACCAGAGATTCCTGTGTGATAGATGAAACCAACATTTATCAAAGAAAATATCTGCTTGTAAAACATCTTTGCAACTCTATATTATACACCATTTGAAAGGTCTGATCCTATTGTTTATAAATATGAAAGTATTGTTTATCACATTATTTAAATAATGCATTTACAACTTAATTATGTTCAGTCACAACGTCCAGATTAAGGACCAAGGAAGCGAAAATTTGACGATTTTCGGCAAATATACGATTTCATAAAATGCACTTACCTATTTCCTTTTTTATTTTTATTGTTTACGTTATTGAAAAAGCTTTTGAAAAAGAATTATCAATAGTATCTGTCATCACCCATTTCCCGATAACAGCGCCTGTCCGCTCAGTAACATGAAGAAATACCACTGTTTTCGAGGCTTCGTATGAATAACACGTTCGTCGAAGACTGGCATATGACACATCGCTAGAAAGCTTATTCTTTCATCTTCACGCTCGTAACATCGCCTGGAGTTTTTCGTAGTTATAACAATCGATTTTATTGGATAACAATTGGTTTCTAATGACGCTTTCGCGCCAAAATCTGCTACAAGGTTTGTGATTGGTCAAATTTGAGCACGTGATCTAAGGCAGTCAATCAAATTACAGTTGTGTTATGAATTTTAGATTTTGACGAAATCTTTTTGTTTATCCTGCCATTCTGAACATCTTAAGCAGGAAATCGCAATTTATATTAAAAATATGGTGCTTTGTTGATGTATCATGCTAGGTTACGAGCTGTGACAAAGTTTTTTCATGCATAATTTTGGCATTAAACATCGTGTCCGAGCCGAGAATTTAGGCGACGAAAGCCGATGTCATTTGATTTACATTACAAGCGATCGCACGAAAAGATGGAAATAATAACTTGGCAGTAAGTTTAACAACTTTTAGATATATTTTTGTTGATTGTATCTATAACTTTGTATACTATATTCAAAGCTTTGCTTGAAACGTCTTTATTTTGCTCTTTGACATGTTCGATGTGGACCCGTTTTCGAAGTGCGTGTCTGAGATTTTTATTTTAAATAACATTACGGGAAATAGTGAATAATTTCTTAATCTATTGATAAAAAATGATCAATTGAAATTGAATACGTATTTCAGACATTGTGAAATGTGATAGATTTAGTAAATGAAAGATATGACTGGTAGGTTTAAAAAATTATATACTATTTTGACGTGACTACGGCTTGGCCGGTAGGGCCTATACCGGCCTACGGTGTCTGGGAATGCTTCTTGGCCGGTATTACGGGCCTACGGTGTTGAATGAGTAATAATGATTAATCATAAGCAAGTTCAATTTGAAAACACAAAATCATTGTCAATATACCGGTACATCACAAACGTATCGCGATACGTAGTTGTTTCATTTTCATATTGCGGTATACCGGTATACCGGTAATACCGTGCAGCCCTACTAACAATATTCTATTTACAAGCATACTGCTACATAATGGATACACGTGGTTTTATTTTCCAAATAACAATATTCTCTTTGACTGAACTAGAAAGCATATCTAGTACATCACGATTGGAAAATGTCTACGGCGACCGACGAGTGAATGAGACCGCTTATCATTTGACTAACAGTGTTAGAATATTTGGCGCAGTTTTCTAGTTTTGGTATGTTGACATGTGCTTTTCATATCTGTTTGAAGGCTTGATATTCAAAAAAAAAAAATGCATTTAGTTGAGTACAGTGAGAAAGCTGTCAAAATGGATCAATATTAAACCACCTAGATTTTTAATATTTTAGCTTCATGTATTGAAATTTCGAATGGTTCAATTTATAACATAAACAGTAAAAGTAATTAGATCTTCTCACAATATATAGATAATCAATTTCTGAAAGACAAAAAGTTTTTACTGTAAATGTGACTTCGTTTTGATGTTTTATATAGTTATATTTATGTCTTTTTTCACTCTGCATTATCTAAATTACCAAATACTTCGACCAGTGACATAGTAGTAATTAGATTCTACTTTGTTTTGTATCCCAGGTATGAAATAGATTTTCTTTTTAAATAAATATTTGTCTAAGAGCAAAATCAATACATTCTTGTGGTTTCTTTTCACCATTTTAATTTGTATATCTTCCCTCCAAGCTGTTGTTTAGCTAGGACAAAATTAAGAAAAAAAGGAAAGACATAATAAACCATTTTTATTAAAGATTTTGCTGGTTAAATTTTCGAAGTTCAATACCAAGAATATAATTTTTCCTTTTATGACAAATAATTCGGTCAAGAGGTATGGTCCCCCAGATCCATCCAGGAGGTATCCCAAACAAGCAAATAAAGTCATAGATATATGGAAAGCTCCAAAGCAAATGAACACATTTTCATAGGTGGGTTTTTCTTGTGCCTGTATCTGCAATGCAAGTTTGGCTACAGCCAAATCATAAGTGGCAAGTGCCATGTTTGCCCCACAGGCTTTTGCAACTTCTTGAGATATCCTCAGTGTTTTAGCAACCACATTCAGTTGTGTTGGTGGCTCTGTTATGTTTTTCAAATACCCAATTTTTTGTTGTGGTAGATAGTCCTCAGACCATCGTGCATTCCATCCGATCCTAATTGGGGTTTGCTGATTCCACGAATAACCCATCATCCAGAACATGTCCATGTGTCTCAAGTGTACATAATTTGCAGGCTCCTCATTTTCGGATAATGGATACTCAAACCTTTGAATCCTAGGCTTCTTCGTGTATGGCTGGATGTAAGATTGTTCTCCTTGGAATGATCTCTTTCTTCTTCCTGCTTTAAAAGATGTATGTGTTGGAACATCTTCAGGTGTAACTGGGGCTGTTGGAATATCCTGGTAACATATACCGACTGTGTCATGAAGTGTCCCAGCACCTGATAGAGTTTCTGTGTTCTCATCATAATTGTCCCATGCTGTGCCAGTGTGAAGTCCAGGTGAGTGAAGGAGACCATCTGGAAGTGGTGATTCAGTTTGTGATACAGATGTTGCCATCTCCGTTTCCAACATTTCAGCCATGTGATACCCTACACAGTGTCCAAAATGATTCAAAATCTCAATTACTTTCCTGCTGCCAGTGATACTTTTAAGCCCAAGTGCAAGATTTAGATGTTTACCTGGTTTGATAGTTCCATTTGAAGTATTGTAGAGAACGTCATCTGCTGATGACCTGATGCATCTCTCAGCCTTGACACTAGGTGGATCTTTGGGCCTTGGAGAGCCTTTATACAATGTTCTAAAGAATCGCATTAAATCACTGGAGGGTTGGCCATTACCCTTTCCTATAACTTGTGCTGACAAGGGCAATGGTAGATCCTTTGACTCATCTCTCATCCTGATTATTTCCTGCCTCAGAATAAAAGCTGCGTCCACTACACGTGCAGAATTGGAATTTGCTTGTGCCTCAGCGTACAGGACCGCATCTTCATTTGATAGACTTGAAGAAAAAATTACTTTTCCTTTTCTGTTGGAGGATTTGGTACTCTTTATTTCATTCTTGTACTTGTTCAGCAATTTAGCTTCCACCTTCTGTGCACTGTATTTAGATTCACTCCCAAGGAATGTCACATATTGTTTATGCATCTTCCAAGTGTTTCTCTATGATTCCCAACACGCTTTGAAACAGCTTTGCAGAAAATGCACACATTTTCAAATACCCCAGGGGAAGTACAAGCAATACCAGGCTATTTTGAACGTAGTAAAACAGATGCATTTCCTATGTGCTCAGTTTTCTCTTTTGGAATAGCTGTGAAATTTTTGTAGCAGATGATATGATATCCATAGGACAGTTCAATGGCATCTAGAGTTCTCACATATTCACATGCTTTATTGTATTTTGATGAAGAATACTTGTTCAGACGAAGTTTGGCAGCATTTTGTATTTGTTGCCATGACTCACTGTCAAACCTTTTTGACTGGTTCTTTTGAATGTTGACCCAGATGCAGAATACATTTGAGATTTTGATCATCCATTCTTCATATTTAAGTGCCTCTGCAGTCAATGAATGGTGTTGCTACTACACAGCATCTAAAAAACAAGCAAATTGCTTTATAAATGATTAATCAAACTTGAATAGCCCCAAACTAATACAACAACTGCTCCCTGGAAATACTTGAAATTAAGAGTAATCTCCCTTGATAGCCTTAACTTTTTGCAGGAGCTTTATAACTAATCACAAGACTTTATACTGTTGAACTGGTGATGATATATTCTGTGGATCATTACACAACTTATGACAAACAGTGTAAAAGATACTGATAAGGGGATTTACAACAACTCACCTTTTCCATCCTGCTGTCTACATGCTTCCAGCATTGCGGCCATCTTGGCATCAGGGACCAGTCATTGCACTTGATTGAAATTATATACTAAAACTTCATTAGAAAGGTTAATTGATTAACTCTATTCAAATCTGGTCCTTTTTATTACATTAATTGTACTTGAACTGTCTGAATTGTCACAGTATGATTTTAGGATGGAGTTATCTCCCTTTACCAAAAATAAAATCATCCTGACTCCTTTGAATAAAACTCTGAATCTTCATGAATAATCATTTGAAAGTATTGAAAATGAATAATATTGTTTCTATAATGTTGGTCTTGTAAAGCAAAATTACTGAGATAATTAAAACCTCATATTACAGGAGTAAGAAGAAACAAAAGATGGTACTTTGCAAACAAAATCATAAATATTATGATATTTCCTATCACAGATAAGACATTTTGATATAGTGGGTGCAATATTGTGTTCTTTTATAAAGTATATGCTCATACCTTCACTTCAATACCCAAATAACTTTAGTCATTTTCAATTTTTATTAAACTTTTCGCATTTTCCTTAATCACATGTGCGCTAAAAACATTTGCTGAGTCATGCCTTTAATGGCATACTGTGAGGAAATGGTCAAGATACAATTTGTAAGAAATTGATTTTTCGAAAATATACTCATTCTTCTTCATTTCAAACCTTTTGGACCTCTGAGGTAAATAAATTCCATGCTATCTCTTGGACTATAGGTCACATGTCTCAAGACAAGCAACAAGTTTTTTGTGAGAATCCGTCG